GCTGGAGTGAAAAAGCCACGCTCAGATCGCGACCTTTAAGCTGTGTGAGAAGAAACAGAGCGCCTTGACAAAGGAATTAGCATAGAATTTAGCATTGAAATGGCTGAGTGATTAGCTTGTGACTGGTCACAGAAAAGGCTATGTTAAAGTTAAAGCATACACATCCGCAGAGGCACCCCTTGACAAAGGAATTAGCATAGAATTTAGCATTGAAATAGCTGAGTGATTAGCTTGTAACTGGTCACAGAAATAGCTATGTTAAAGTCAGAGCATATACATTCACAGAGGCACCTAGTACAAATCAAACAGGAGAATTTAGGATTGAAATAACTAGGCGAATTTAGCATTGAAATAACTGAGTGATTAGCTTGTGACTGGTCACAGAAATGGCTATGTTGAAGTCAAGGCCTACACATCTGAGCTATTCACAGTAACTGGGTATACACTACATTATATAATGAGTACTATATAGTGAACCAATAAAAAATATATAAATTACCTCAATGTTATCAATAAACTCTATATATTCTCCAATCAGCTAAGCTACCAACAATAAGTCGTTATATATCACAATGCTATATGGCGAAAAAAATGGGTGGATTCTTACCCTCAACTTTAGCAACACGGATAGCTACGGGCCCCGTTCATATAACGACTTATTGGTGGTAGCTTAGCTGATTGGAGAATATATAGAGTTTATTGATAACATTGAGGTAATTTATATTTTAGTTTTTTATTTGTTCACTATATAGTATTCATTATATATTGTAGTGTATACCCAGTTACTGTGAATAGCTCAGATGTGTAGGCCTTGACTTCAACATAGCCATTTCTGTGACCAGTCACAAGCTAATCACTCAATTATTTCAATGCTAAATTCGCCTAGTTATTTCAATGCTAAATTCTCCTGTTTGATTTGTACTAGGTGCCTCTGTGAATGTATATGCTCTGACTTTAACATAGCTATTTATGTGACCAGTTACAAGCTAATCACTCAGCTATTTCAATGCTAAATTCTATGCTAATTCCTTTGTCAAGGGGTGCCTCTGCGGATGTGTATGCTTTAACTTAGCTATTTCAATGCTAAATTCTATGCTAATTCCTTTGTCAAGGGGTGCCTCTGCGGATGTGTATGCTTTAACTTTAACAAAGCCATTTCTGTGACCAGTCACAAGCTAATCACTTAGCCATTTCAATGCTAAATTCTATGCTAATTCCTTTGTCAAGGCGCTTTGTTTCTTCTCACACAGCTTAAAGGTCGTGATCTGAGCGTGGCTTTTTCACTCCAGCGCTGTCCTCCAGACAGTCTCGTCCCTTCACCTGATGAAGGCCGCTTGTGTTGTGGCCGAAACGTCGTGAGAATATTATTGTGTTATTTTATTTTATCAATTTATTATTTTATTCTCATTCTACGTGACTTTACCGAAAGAACCAAAGAAGATGAATCCTTGCAGTCACGGAAGCTTTCAATCGAAATGTCCTAACTTATTATTACAATGTTCATCCTACAAAGGCCCATCACAAGGGAGAAACACAAATAGACAGCAAAAACATGTTTTTGAAACGGCCGTACGCCGTATGGACCTGAAAACCCAATTTCCCTGTACAAGAATACGGGGTAAACCGTATGGTGGTATGTCATTGGTGACGTTTTAAATGTTCGATTTTCGAAAGCGTATGTTGTCAATGAAACCATATATATTTTAGAAAATTGAACGTTATACGGATTAAAGCAAACGAATCTGCCACACCCAGGCACTGAAGTCAAAACTCAGCTCACACGGCCACGACAAAGCCCCACACGATACGGGGAGACTGCTTTAGAATTTACAAAGCACACACAGCTTCGTTATTATATCGCACCGAACGTGACAGTTTAAGGGGCCGTCCATAAATGACGTCACGCGATTTTGGACAATTTTTGACCCCCCCCCTTCGTCACACGGCGTCACAAAAAGTCAGACCTCCCCCTCAAATGTGACGTCACAAAGCTCTGCCCCCCCCCCCAAAAGAAAATAAAACATGCTTCAAATTGATTTAAACTATTGTCATTGTAGCGCGTATTTAATGTGGCGCTGCACTCTGATGTTGTAGGAGAAAACATTTATTAAAAAGTATATTTAATTAAGTAGAACGTGTTGTCTATATTTATTTAAAGTTGCGCATTTTTACGTGACGTCACATTTATCAACTCCCCCTCCCCTTGTCACACATCGTCCCCAGGTGCGTGACGTCATTTATGGACGGCCCCTAACACGTAGCAGGCTTTCGCGACCAATGTCATCCATAAGAGGTTATTTGGGGGGGTTAGATCGTGTAAATATATAAATGTTGTGTCGTTAAACCCGCCACCACCCGACACAGCCAACTAGTAAGGGTTGTCACGTAAACAGAACGTGGCCAATTCGTCACTAGTACAGCACTAACCGGTTGTGTGTTGGAGAGCCAAGCCACAACATTTAAAAACAGTACGGCGTTTCGTCAGTAATTACATCTGGCAGCTCACCGGCATTTATCAATGCGTAATTACAACTCGCTTCATCAGGCTCTTCGCCTGTCGCCTGATAAAGCTAGTTGTAATTACTGGCGAAACGTCGTATTTGTAGATTTACGCGATCTAACCCAAAAAAAACCTCTAACGTGCCACACAAAAACAAATCGGTCTTACGTACAAAGTACACGCGGATAAAAATGTCTCGTTCATATATCCCTTCGTCTACATCAAAAATACAAGTCTGTTTTACACATTCCGTCAGCAACACGGCCTTTTTTTCTGGGGTGCATAATTTCAGCAGCTTTGATTCGATACAAGCGAACCCGTGGACCGGTTTCGACACCCAGTGTCTCATCAGCAGATTCAGGTACGCATGAATAAATGCCGGTGAGCTGCTAGATGTTAAAGTCAAGGACCCCCCTCTGTAAGAAATGTGGTTATTTACATTATCCACAGGCAGCCTGTTGTACATGGCTAGTGCACACATATGCCTCTCTGTACACACCATAGTCCGCACTGACGCGCCTGTTATTGATCGATATTGTCTTCGGTTTCACAGAGGCAGACTATTATACAGTACAAAGGAACGGATTCTTTTTACGTGCTTTTCTTTACATGTAAGTCCTTCATTTTCCACATCATGTATAATGTAATATTTTTCTTTGTATATATATATTTTAAATGGTATTAATCTTTTTGACCCTCCAGTTATCTGTTTTAGTTTTTTCCTCCTCAAACTCTGGGTTTCCAGTTCTTACCAAGAGACATTTTCACACATTTATGTATATTTTTTATTTCTTCATATCTCACTCATCATCAGCCATGATCAATCCACTGCTGGATCAAACCCTTCCCAAGATCTCTCACGGTCTTATAATGGCAAAAATCCACTCAGTACCTCCACAGGAGCCAATTTGATCGCTCCATCTCCACTCTGGACGTCCTCTCGGGCATTTTCCCTACTTTGGCTGCCACTCTTTTTCTCGTCTCGCCCATCCGGCCATCATCTTTACTCACGATGTGTCCTGCCCAAGTCCACTTTACTTTTCTTCATGGTCAATATGCTGTTCTCAAAATATTGCTTGGAGAAATAAAGACAAATGTAAATGGAGACAATATTTGCTATCTTAGGTTTTCGGATTGCAGAAATGATAACATCCATTTCAGAGAGAAAAAAGCTAATTATAAATCCGGTGTATGTAACTTTTAAAAGAGACTTGCAGTTTCAATGAGCCTCCACCAGGTTAGCTGAAGGCCATATTGATTATTGTTTTTTTATGTAGCATTAAAACGCACATTCACAAAGTGCACTCATGAAATTAAAAAAACTACACTCTTTTTTATTTAACCAGGTAAGGCTCACTGAGCTATATAGCTCTTTTTCAGAAGCGACCTGACCACAAAGGATAACTCAACGAAGTGGCTTATAATGTGGAAATGTATAGCAGCTGAATACTCTAAACGCATGTTTGTAAATGTGGGGGGGGGGGGGGACCGGGGGGGGGGGAGGCTGGAGAAAAATCCACGTGACCACGGGAAGAGAGCCACGCAAACTCCAAATATACAACAGGCGTCAGGGTCGTGATTGAACATGCTGCAACCTCCTGTATACCAAGCGAGGTGATTAACATCTCGCCATCTCGCCACCATAGAAATACAATAATGCGTGCGTTCGAATACAACCACGCCCGACTCACACCTGAATTAGAAGCTTATATAATTGGAAGATGGATTTTTAAAAAGATATACAGGTTGCATAAAAAATGTTAACACTCTCGAGAATTTGCAACAATACCACAATAAATGTGCCTCTGGGTTCTGGAGACCACCTGGATAAGATTCCAGGCATGTGTTGACAACGATGGCGAACAAGTGGAGAGACTTTTTGAAGCTATTAACATACATTTGTTATCATGTCACAGTGTATTATTCGTCCTTTTTCCCATTAAAAACGATAGTCCCATGTAAGTGTTAACATTGTTTTGAAGCACCCTGTAATATAAACCCAATGGACTGCACATTTTCAAAGTGTACCCCCACCAAAAAAAATCCCCGTACAGCCGCGTTCATTCGTACGCGGCCTCGTCTTGTGTTGACAAGCAGCCAAGCCCCCCCCCGCCCCCCCCCCCGCTCACATTTACGCACTGCCTCTCTCAGGACTCTTGCTAATTCGCAATTACCGCGCTAATCTGTCTACTAAATTACAGCGGCTCACACACCCCGTTGGTTGAAACGCAGCTCACGTTTAAATTACGACTGCGTGGCGGTGTATTTGGTAGTTTCCGAGAAGCCATCGCCAGTGAAATCACCACCATCCATTCTTTATCCACTGCTCTTTTCTTCATCCCTCAATTTTGCATTCTTCGGACCAATTGCATGATATCGACCAGCACTGGTGCACCGTCGTATGTACGAGTATAGCCGTGCATGCGGTATAAATGCGCACGCGTGTACGGGCGGAGGTTGCCTTTTGAAGTAGCCGATCGCGATATTGCCGCACGGAGCGCATGCCAAGTACCTTGGGCCGTCGCAGCCCCAGCATCATCATCGCGTGTTTGTCTGCCGTGTTGTTGTTGTGCGCGCATCTGCGCACGTGCGCGCGCGATAACGCAGCGCGTGCACCCGACCCTGACCGGCTCCGCCTGCGCGATGCGGCGACCCCCCCGGCATGGATTGCCGAGGACAGAAGCAAAAAAATCCATCCCAATGTTTTTTTCTCTCTCTCTCTCTCCCTCTTCTCGCGCGAGCAGCTTCTGCAAGCAGCCAGACGCAAACCCTGCAGGGCTCGGGCGCCTCCCTTTCATCTCCTAACCGCGTCCTGTCGCATCCCATCAAATCTCATCACATTTTCCATCCACGTTTGATTTGTACGGCTTTTTTTATATACCTTGGGTGTGCCAGCGAGAAATCCCTTAATGATAAATATATAACGATAGAGAGAGAGCACGAGGAACAGACGGGCACGTATAGAGTCAAAAAAATAACAACTATCATTCCGCTGTCTGTCCATCCTCGGCCATGCGAGCTGTGGGAGCGAGCGGCTGCCTGGCCGCCACGCTGCTGTTGATATCGGTCCTCAGTGGCCCGTCTTGGTCCAGGCCGACCTCCACAACGGGGTCGTCCCCGCGGGCCTCCAAGGGCGCGCGGGGCTGCCCCGGCCAGCGCCTGTACGCCGCTCAAGACGGGGGCCAGCAGGGTCGGCTGGACCTTGGCTCCGTGGTGACGGCATCGGCATCGGCGACCAGCGTAAGCGGACGCGATGTGATCGCTGCTTGCGCCGAGGCGCGGGGCGCCGATGTGAGGACGACTCCCGTGGTGGGCGGCCGTGCCGGTGGCGGCGGTGGTGGTGGTGACGGCGGTGGGGCCTCGCGAGTTCTCCACTCCAGGGCGAGGCGGTGGCTCGAGTCTCTGGCGCCGGTCGACTTCCCCGAGGAGCACTTCCCCGGCCTTAACTACTGGGGCTTTGGAGACGCAGAAGAGGATGAAGACGAAGACGAGGAGGAGGATGGCGTGCAAGTGAGGGGCGAGCGCGGCGATGGAGAGGAAAAACGAGCAGCGGAGGACGGTGCGGACGACGTGGATCAAGGTGACGGTGAAGGAGCAGACGTCGTGGATTATGACAAACCACAAGGTGAGAAGAAGCTGTCGTCTGAAGAAGCCCTCACTCGTGGTCTCACCCTGGAGGAGCGAGCAGGTGGTGGACAGGAAGCTGAGGACCTGGCTGCCGATCGCCAGGAGGCAGAGGATCCTGCAGATGATAACTGGAAGGAAGAGGACCCTGTCAGGAGTGATCCAAAGGTTGAGGATCAAGCAGATGACGATGAAGAGGATGCTGAAATCCCTGCAGGCGATGTAGAGCTTGACAGCCCCACAGATGGAAATGTGAAGCTTGAAGAACCTGTCGGTGGTCATGAAGAGGTGCTGGACTCTGCAGGTGGCGATGATCAGAAGGTTGAAGACCCCGCGGGTGAACATGACTCGAACGCGAGTGACTCCACACGCGAAGTGCCCTCCGACGTTGATCCACAAACCCAGCCCAACGCCTTAGACACCACGGAGGCGGCTGCCGTCTCTGACAAACACGGAGGGGCCACAGCTGAGGAGGACTCGACAAAGCGCCTGCACAAAGCCACCTCGTGGGGGCTGGGGGTGAACGAAAGTGCCCCTGGTGGAGGAGAAGGTGACAACGACGACGAGGAGCCCGGCAGGGAGACGGAGCTCAACGAGACGTCGAGGCACGGAGACATCACCAAGGGTGACGTCTCAGGCAGCACGGACGCCGGGCTCAACCTCACGACCGCTGCAGGTGACCCACCTCCCAGAGGACACTTTACCCTCTTGTAGGCGAATCGTTTCACGGAAAACCAGGATAAATAGATGTTTTTTGGGTGAAATGTGTTTTTAAGAGCAAAAATAATCCTCCAAATCTATGAACATGTTTCACATAATGTAGTGGGTATGGCGGTTAGTAGAGGCCGGCTGTAATATGCACACACTCACATCTATGCACAGATGATTTATTATTGAGTAAATGAGGTTATAGTTTGAGCTACAACTACAGTCACGCATCAACGCATGATGCGTGTTTTGTGCTTGATATGTAAATGGAATACTGCTTAAAATGAATTCGGCCAAATATACCAATGCGAAAGAGAGTGTTGAGAGTCAATGTTTTTTTGTATGGATACGTGTATTTGTTTTGTTACATAATCACGATGCCTTTATTTGAGGCAACATTGCCAGTGAGAACACATTTATCCCATGAGCACTGCCATTCCATTCTCTTCCCACCTGGATACCTGTTTTGCCTGGAATGATAATTTGGGAGTGGAGTGGTGGCACAGAGCTTAAGTCGCTGTGCTCTGAACCTGGTAACCTGGTGAGTTTAATTCACAGTCACGGCTAACATCAGTGGCGTTTGATACATTAACCGGTGCCAGGTTCACGTTCACCAACCCCGCACTGACCGGTGTGATGAAGTATAATAAAAAAAACAATCCCCATGATCGACACGGTTTGACGAGGCCCTCATCCAGCAGTGGATTGACAAAGGGCTTTACATTATTAAAAGAAGCGTGGCAGTTTTTCACTACCTCTTAAATTGATATTATACTCAATGTATCGTAAATATATATCATGTGTAAAGCAGAAAATACAATAATACGTGTGTCCGCAGAAGCCCAGAATGGCAGTGATCCACACGCGTAGACACGTGCGGAGTTTTTCATGATACAATGGGTTGTTCTTACCGACAATGCCTCGTTTTGTTGAGTGCCAATCAATGCTCGTTCCCAGCTGGCGTACAGAGCTCGGTGGGAGCAGCGTGTCCTTGTGCCATTGTCAACACAATGCAGATTTAGTCGCACCGCTGTGCGTCAAAATACGCGAGTCCAGCAGCATTTTGTCGTCATTATAAAAAGGGGAGGCGTGCGTTTCCGTTCCACTCAATTCCATTTTCTCCGCGTTGTGAGCGTCGTCACATTCGGTGTGTGCCGTAAAGATATAAACTCTACCTTTCCTATCAGCAGTATCCACACGCCTACACCTCATCGGATCCAAAGTCATTGGCACGCGCATCAGGGTCAAAGTGTGCCATGGTTGCACACTCATTAATCACACGGAACTGCAAATGCAGTTAAATTTGTAAACAGTATTTGGTAATATAGCACCCATCTATGCTTTGTCGCACACACATGTAAATATTAACATCATATCCATCCATAACTTATGTGTAGTTGGTTATAGATGCGCTTACTGTATTGTCAAACTGCCCAATGGAAGTTTTTGGCTGATTATTCTTTACCTTGTAAACGTAAGGAATGGGTTATTTTGCTATATAATGACTCACAATCATTTCGTTTTTGTAAATCCACTGCTTCATGACGGCCTTTGCACATTATCAGTATTTGAGACGGCTTGACCATACTTCAACACACTATCCAGTGCGAGTTGGTGAAGAGATATTACTTGGTCAGATATGCTGATGCTCAACAGAATGTCCTTGTAAAATGCAAATGTGAAATCCTGACCTAACCTCCGCTGCTCCATGGTATTCCACGCAGCGATGATCCTCCTGTGGCCCATGAAGGTGTTTTTATAATTCACCCCCTATGACTCCGACTCGTACGTAGCCCAAGTCAACATTGGGGACGATCACGCCATACATGAAACTAATTACTCCTGATGCATAAGGACAGGAATCGATGCAGAGATTAACTATGAATTTGATATAATGCACTTATCACCAAGCCACTGCTCTCAGATATACGCCCGTAAAGGTGAGTAGCTACATATAGGGGACGGAGGTCTGTAAGCCATAGGGGCCGTCCAGAAATGACGTCACGCACCTGGGGGGGGGGGGGGGGTCATACATTTGTGACGATGTGTGACGAGGGGGGGGGGGGGGTTGAGAAATGTGACGTCACATAAAAATGCGCAACTTTAAATAAATATAGACAACACGTTCTACTCAATTAAATAGACTTTTTTATACATGTTTTCTCCTACAACATCAGAGTGCAGCGCCACATTAAATACGCACTACAATGACAATAGTTTAAAGCGACTTGAAGCATGTTTTATATTTTTTTTGGGGGGGGAGGGCAGAGCTTTGTGACGTCATATTTGAGGGGGGTACGACTTTTTGTGACGCCGTGTGACGAGGGGGGGGGGGTCAAAAATAGTCCAAAATCGCGTGACGTCATTTATGGACAGGTCCATAACCAATCCAATGCTAGTGGAGGCCTCTTACAAGCCATCTAAATCTACCAGCAGTCTCCCAAGAACGCTTCAACATGTCTGCGCTGGTCAGGGGATTTGTATGACCATACTTCACCAGACTGGTGAGGTTGAGAAACACTGGTTCGGGTGTCACTCGCCACATAGGTTAGCCTCGGCCAGAACTCAAGTTGTCAGTGTGCCAACCACTGTGCCACTGCTCCCCTTGCTTGAAGATCGTGCGGTGCCTTTCAATGTGAGGTGTCCAACGGCACTTAACAGAATCCACAGAGAATTGAACAACTGTAAAACTACGAAACTTCTGTAAAACTACAGTTTATCCTGTGGTCAGAATTAAAGATAAAAACAATTGGAAAAGTCTTTAAATCTGCAACATAACACAAAGCAACCTTTTAATATCAAAGCAACATAAAAATAGAAAATTCCAGCCATTATCAATCCACAAATGAAGGCCTCCTCACTCCACGTCAGTGTTGAGGGTGTTTTAGCCATACTTCACCACACTGGTCAGTGTGGGTTAGTGAAAAAGGGTTCATGTTTTTGACAAATTTGAAAATTGTAAATGTTTTATATTGCTTTACAACATTCCGGTTTGCTGGAAAAAAAACAAATCATTTGGAATATTTAACCACGTGACAACTCGATTCTATTGGCCCTGTTAGGTGGCAGAGGCTGTAGCTGAAAATTGGCATTATACCTACACTTTCTATCCCAAAAATAGCTAATTACAGATCATACGTATTAAAAAAGATCATGTACCACTGAGGATAGTGAACTTGGATGGTGCCAAAGGGACATTTGTTGGCCCAGGGCCCAACCAAGCACCCTCCTAGCTCAGGCCCTGCTTGTGGAGATGGCAGTGTGGCGCACTAACCACTGTCCTCGCACTCCGCCCAAGAAAAATGGGAGCAGTACGTGGTGAAAGTACTACGTGCGTGTGCCTGTAGCGCCGACACAAGTGCTGCAGAGCAACACGTGGCAGCCGGACAAAACGAGTCAACCAAGTCCATCGGCTCGCGGTGCTCAAGCCGGGCCAGCGGAGGCGACGGGTCAGCCTGGGCAGGTGGAGCACGTGGCGACAGCGGAGGCGGGCGAACCGGCGGGAGCGGCGGGCAGGCTGGGGAGAAGGCGGGCCGGTCTGCAGGAGGGGCTCCTGGTGGAGGTCCCCTACCCCCGCGGGGGGGCCCTGAGGGGAAACCCCATGCATGCCCCCCACGGATACGTCAGTAAGTGCGGACTCTATACAGGGTGCTTTAAAAAAATGTTAACACTTACATGGAACTATCGTTTTTCAATGCGGAAAAGAACGGATAATACACTGTAACATGATAACAAATGTAATGTTAATAGTTTTAAAAAAATCATACAGTATCCACTTGTTCGCTATCATTGTCAACACGTGCCTGGAATCTTCTCCAGGTGGTATCCAGGGCCCGGAGGCAGCACATTTCTCGTGATATTGTTGCAAATTCTCCGAAGTGTTAACATCTTTTTGAAGCACCCTGTATATAACAGCCGCGGTAACGTCGGTGCACTGCAGGTAGACCAACAATGGTGATTGCCTATACGGTACTGAATGTGTATGCCAAATATTCACCGAGTGGCTGACCTCAATAACATAAACTATAAAATAGTGTTTTTTTATTTTACCAGGTAAGGCCCACTGAGCTATGTAGCTCTTATTTCAGAAGCGACTTAGACACACATTATAGCTCAACAAAGTGGATTATCACGTGGACATTTACTGCAGCCAAAACTTCTAAACGCAATTTTCTAAATGTGGAGAGCAAAAACCCGAGGACCCGGAGAAAAATCCACGCGACCACCACGGGGAGATCATGCAAACTCTAAATATACATGCGTTAGCGTCGAGATCGAACCCACGACCTCCTGTATACCAGGCGAGGTAGTTAACAAATTGCGCACACATGCACATGTAATAACTGAGAATGGACCAAATGTTTGGCTTCTTTATTCGATTCGACTAAGAGAACCACAACACGACTAAAATCCCACGTTGTCCTTTGCCCAGACTAAGCCTATGTCTAAAATAACGAATGCTGAATGAAAATTAACACTGCTCACCCTTTGTCCTACTACACAGAGGCACTTATAGTGGCGCTGCCAAGCAATTGACTTGCACCGGGGTCAAAAATAACGGGGATGTCTCTGGAGGCCATGGGATAGATCGGGTCACCTCCTCTATAGGATTACCTCCTCTATAGGGTTACGTACTGTTGGTTTCGTTCTTTTGGCAGCATAGAGAACATCTGGGTAATCTGTATGCACTTGTGCAGCTCTTTGCCAATCCACTGCTGGACGAGCGCCTCCCCACACTATGCAGGTTGTGGGGGGCTATTTGAGCATACATCACCAAGCTGGTCAGTGCATGTTGGTGAAGGCGGGGCGCTAAGACGGTGGGAGCGTGTAAGTCGAGTACAGCGATTGTTTTTGCTGCACGGCTCTCTGCTGCCGCCCAACCCCTAAGACAGCCTCGTCTACGGTGGTCACCCATCCAAGCACTATCCAGGCTCAAACCTGCATAGCTTCCGAGGTCGGGTACATTCCGGGTGATTTCGTCATGGGCTGGGGGATGTCTCGACGTCAAAAGGTCTTCCTGATTATGAACAATGGGGCAGCGCTCGTCGCCATTTGGAAGCCTTTAGCCAGCGGGCGAAAATGTTGGCACATTTGCGGCTCATAATTACACAGTACGGTACACAAGTGTCGGTTTCAGGCTGATGCAAACATATTTTTCGACGCACGTACGCTCGCACCACGACCACTTTCACTTTTCCAATAAACATCTCTGTGGATCTGCATCTATTGAAATTGGATGACCCATCCTGACAGGGGTAATTTCAGCCACACACACACGCGTCGTCGCCTAAGCCAGTACGCACAGACGATGATAACTGTAGTGATTGACAACTGATAATATGTAGACTAACCTTGTACGCTGAAAATAATGAATAATTTATGGTAAAGGTGTAGCCCTGTAATTGCTCGCTCACGCCACTGATAGCAGAAGGGCCTCCACGAGATGGGGCTCTAGAGAGCTACTCGAGAGTACGTTGGGTATACTCATCCACACTGGTTAGATCTCCTGAAAGAGGTGTCAGTAACTCACCACATGCCCACTTGCCGACCGACTAACTGTCCTTGTGCCCATTTGTACTGCTGGGTGGACAGAGGCCGGGGGGATTCAAGAATAACACGTGTAAGGCTTTCGCGACAAATTGTAAATGTTGTGGATTGGCTCTCCAACACACCGGTGTGCTGTACTAGTGATGCATTGGCACGTTCTGTTTACGTTCCAACCCTCACTAATTGGCTGTGTCGGGTGGTGGCGGGTTTAACAACACATTTATATATTTACGCGATCTAACCCAAAAAAAGCTGTTTTATGGATTCAATAACTTTCATCGTTGTCAGCTGCTGACCTGGCTGCGTCTGCCTGCAATGTTTGGCCTTGGTGTGAGCGACGGGAAAAGTATGCGACATGTTTCACTTTTTGTTGTATATTTTCCAGTAAAGAGCTGGGTTCGGGAACTGCGCAGTAAGGTAAGGCACGCAAGACGCGCGCTCCTGAGAACTGGCAGCAGTGAGTGTCGACCAAAAACCTCCTTCCCAGTACTTCCCACAACCAGCTAACACCCACCGACATTTCCCACCACCTTGTTCTAACCTCCCTCCTCCATGGCCAAGCCACTCCATCTAAGATTCTAAGCCATCAACAGTTTTTACCAGTGGCCCGATACCCAGCTTACTCACACTCATACATCGTCCCATCATCACATGCCTACCTATACCATCTAACACCTACCCATCTCACATCCACCAATACCACCTCGTACCCGAGAAGAACGTCGACTTGTTAGATTAATTAAAACAAAGGAAGAAACTCTGGGTTGGGCGTGTAGATAGTCAGTGCGGGCTGGCAAAGTTGACAGCATGGATAAGGCTGAGTGCTTTTGTACTCGCAGAGCACACCTGTGCGTGTTGTTGAATCTGGATGTGGAAGATGCCCACAGCGTAGCCCTGCAAGTGCTGAAGACAAACCGCTTGCACGTGGTGGTGACCGATTCAAACACTATCCAGGCTCAACCCTGCTTAACTTCTCAGGATCTGACAATATTGTGCGCATTGCGGGTGATTCGGTGATAAGGCTCTGGTATTTCCTTCCAAATTGGGGTGCCACGATGGCGAGACGTTAACTATCTCTGGTATACAGGAGGTGGGGGGTTCGATCCCGATCCTGACGTCTATATATATTTGATTTTGCACGTTCTCCCCGTTGGTCACCTGGATTTTTCTCCGGGTCCTCCCGTTTTTGCCTCCCCCCACCCCTCCCCGCCACTCCGCCTGGTGTGGCCACTCGTGGCGAGACGCATGCGGCAGCAGGGGGCGCCACTCGCTACTCTCAGCAGAGCCCTAAAAACATATTTATACCCCTCCGCTTAATTAATTTGTCGTTAATTTAGTCAATATCTTTTTCATATTATTTTTATGCCGACTGTCTGCTGCTGATGTGTCCTGTACAGCGCTTTGATATCCTTGATAAAAATCGCTCTATGAATGTAATTATTATTTCACGAGTCCCAATCCCGCGGGGTTGGGATACTCCAATCCGCATGTTCCATTGTCATTCGAGGTTACCGATAACAATACGACCCCTTGTCAATCTACTGCTCGGTGAGGATCCTGCCCGCACCGTGTGGCTCTTTGGAGTTATTTCACCACGACAATAATTCACCACGCTACTTCCATCGGCGGTGGTTGATGAAGGCGGGGAGCATAGATACGGGAGCCTCGAAGTACAGCACAACAATGGATGTTGTTGCACCGCCTTCTGCTAGCACAACTTAACCCCACCCCCACCATGTGCTGTTGGCCGTTTCCCATGTGTACGCACCTGGTGGTTGGTGGACATGTGGAGATCGGCCGGGAACTGAAGTTATAGAAGCACTGCAAAGTGAGATGGCCAAGTGGCTCAGGGGTCCTGGAGTTCGGATCCTGGGTTCGAATCCAAGCAACCACCTGTGGTTAAACTTGGCTCCCAGGTGTAGAGTAGATTAACGTTTCAGTCACGTCACAAAGACCTACATACAACATCATACAATAATGGTGGATTTTTCACTTATTTTGGAAAGAAATCTAGCTCTGATTATTAACATGTTCAGTTTGACTGCCATGTGGGAAACTTCAGTGTGGTGGGTAAAAAGTAACTTGAATTGATCTCATAATTAATTCCGTGACATCACATCCCAGCAGGACACTCTCCAAGGTGGGGTAATACACTATTCTATGAAAGTTCTGAATGGGAATTGCCCCATCTCATGACACAGGTTGCCCAATTTCAGGGCAAATTCCCGGTTTGCTTGGCGGCTTCCTCTAAGCCTGACCGCAGTGGCGTAGCTACCGAGTGTGCAGGCTGTGCAACTGCACCGACGCCGAGAGGCCAAGAGGGGCGGGGGACAGAGGTGAGGGGCTACGGAGAGGGGGGAAATCGGACAGCTGTGGGGATAGGGGGGGGTGGATTTCGTTTGGTGCACCAGGACTCAATGCCCACCACTGCACGGCCACTGCCTGGCTGCAGCTGTCGGTGCGAGGCTGAGACTCCCGCGTGGCCCCGTGCCCTCCGGCAGGTGGGCTGCATGTCGGGGCTGCTCGTGCCGGTGGGGATCGGCGTGGCCGCCGCCGCCTTCATGCTGCTGGCCGTGTACGGCCTACGGGCCGCGGCCACACGGCGGTGGCGACGCAGCGTCAAGAGGCGGCCGCAGGTGAGGAGCTCGAGGTGGCTGCTTTGAAACCTCGGCGGTGCTCTGGTTCTTTGGGGGCTCCGAAGCAAACAATATTTGTGGTGCCCCCCACCCACTACCCTTTCAATGGATACGAAAATAATGACTCCTATTGAGATGACAGAAGAGATTATAGGTAAGAGATGGAGATGCAGTGAGGTGAGAGAAGTGATATGCACACGAGTTAGAGATCTAGTGAATTGAGAGCGATGTAAACAAGAGACACGTGTGGAAGTCGATGAGAGCAGAGAGATACAGACAACGTAGCGATCAGAGACATTTATTGGAGCTTTTAAAACATGAATTGGCTTTATACGCTAATTAGGATTTTAATTGGAGCTTTTAATTGGATTTTTTTTTTCATGAATTCGGTGCTTTTTGAATCACTTGGAGGCCCTGACGTGTTGCTGGGTTTACTTCTGCCTAGCGCCCCCACTGACCGACCCAACATTCCTCCGGCCTTCCATATGTTCACGACCCTGGTCAGACTCCCCACTGCTATTGACACTGCAGTTTTTTTTTAGTTTGTTTCAAGTGCCGAGGACGTGACACGGCCCCTCCGTACTCTTCACAGCCAAGTGACAGCCACGGCTACACCAATGCTACCGGCTACCGTGCCCTTTTGTGCACGTGTACAATGCACAACCCTTATCGTTAATACACTGCTGGATGAGGGCCTCCCCCACACCATGGGGGTCACAAGGGTTATTTGACAATGCCTCGCCACGCTGGTCAGTGCGGTTTGGCGAAGGCGGGGAGCGTGAATGTTGAAACGCACAGTACAACAATGGATTACTGCCGCACGGCCTTCTGCTGTCACCGCCCACCAACGTGCGCTCGCCCATCGAGACCTAACGACGTCAGGCGCAGTTGGCTGCATCGTATGTAGTGGGTGCGAGGCGAGCTGCCCTCCCTGTGGCTCCCCCCCACCCCACACAACGCCACGGCTCCACTTGGAGCAGCAGGGTGAGGTCACCGCGTTCTCACTCATCCGCCCAGCAGCTGTGGGCAAGGCGCCTCCGGGTTATGTACCCGGTCCAGTCCACCTGGATTTTCTACTATTTTTAAACTTGTTAATGTTCTAAGAACATGACACCACATCCGAAGTGAAAATACAGCCCCGTGTCAATGCATTGCTGGGTGAAGGCCTCGCCATGCAACGTCGGACACGTTTACTCCCATGTCCGAGGTTGCATCAGGTGGGTAGAACAAGTGCCATGCGTTGAGGCTGCGACACATGTTAAGCAGTCGCAAGTGGTCACGTCAAGGAGAGGCGAGCGTCCGTCGCGTGAATGTGGAATTTCCACCGACGGTCCGCTGCCGCGTCGCGCTCACTGGAGCATCGAACTGTGCCCGTGTCTCATCGCATCTCGCACGTTAGGCATCGTGGAGCTCCGACTGGTGTGACCCCCCCCCCCCAACGCGTGCTCAAGAAGGGTGCAATCAGCCGTGGAGGGCAGTCGAGGGCAGTGCAGGGAAGTCCATTGTTCTGAACTCCCCCACCCCGCGAACCTTCACCAGCCATCGCTGACCAGCGTGGTGAAGTATGCTCCATGCTCCAATATCCCTCACGGCCCATAAGGCGTGGGAACGCCCTCATACAGCAGTTGATTCACAAACGGGCTGTACATTTTACATGTGCGCTGCGAACTATATGTTGCATAGTGAACGTCTAGAAATCGTCACGGCCAATGCCGCCGCCGGCCCACCGAGTCCAGCTTCCAGAGGATGTCTTACTGGACATCTGTGAAAAAGAGCTTTATAGCTCATCGTATTCCTCCGGTATAGATAAACATGAATCTGAGAGGGTTTGCCGTAGATCGAGCTGGTAAGCGGTTTCAGAGAGCAGTGAGCCCGATTGGCCCTGGTGATGCCCTGTGTACGCGTGCATTTGCCACAGAAGAGCGACACCACCAGCACTCAGGATCGCATGATGCTGCTGGCAGGCAGCAGCGAGGAGGAATTCTAAACAACCTGGCCCGGACCCCACACTCCCCGTACCGCAAACAACAACAACCGCCAGGCGCCACTCGCTGGCGACGACGTCACCACGGACCGCAACATGCACACACACGCACGCACACACATGTTCGCTCCGCACTCCTCTCTACCACACGCGTGACAGTGGGCGCACAGTCAACTCTCAAGCGCGTCCCAACACACGCAACGCAACGCAGCGAACCGCGCGAGAAAATGAAAGTAAATGAGCGCGTTACCACGGGCGGACTGAGACCCAATTTGGTGCCGTGCGCAATTACATATGTGGGGATACAAAGGCGGTCGCGCCGTGCCTGCTTTAAGAGATCACTTGCATAACGTTTCCCCCAGCTGTCTCTGACGATCGATGGGGAATCATCTCTGCGTCTGTGTGTGGAGGGTGAGAGGGTGAGGAGTGATGGCGCAGTGGTGAGCGCACCGCACTGCACACCTGGTGGTATAAGTTCGATTTAGGGCCGGACCTTTAACCTTTTAACTGAGACACGAGGGGGGAGACGCACCCACGCGGTAACTTTAAGCCTGCCGCTGGTGAGTTTAAGATGACTGTCGCTGACCAATCAGAGTCGCAGGCGCCGTGCTATTAGAATCATTGCTGTGGAATCGATTACTACAGGGCATCTGTGACATTTTTTTGTTTTATAGCTCATCGGATTCCTCCAGCATAAATACATATTACGATTCCGAATGAGGCGAAGTCACACGGCCGGCGGCGCCTGTGGCACCGCGAGACGATGGTTACACGTGCCGACGTCGTCGCGAGGCGTGCACGTGGCGCGTGACATCATCGCCTTGGCTGAAAAGGCTTAATTACGTCACAATGGGGGTGCGGGCCCCTTTTCCTCCGTGGGTCCTCGGTCTGTGCCCGATAGCCCCAATGGTCAAGCCGCCCGTGTGCGTTCCCACGAACACGCGCCTACATTGTGCCCAGGTGACCCCGCCAGCCGCTGGCCCAAGCGTCCCTTCTGTGCTTTTTAATTACGCTGAAGGATTACTCAGATTTACTTTTCATCTTATTTTAATTGAGGACATTGAAGCTAGACACAACCAATGGGAAACAATTCAGATGGCCGGCCTATTGTGTTTCCAATGTGGCACAGAGGAAGGAATGCTGCTAAGAGATTAAGGAAGGTATAATTGTTGTGACGCAGGCAGAGGATTTCCATTTATTATAATAATAATAAACAGTCCTTTGTTAATTCTAGATTTTAAGCTTTCGTGACTGCAAGGATTCACACTCTTTGTTTTTTTCAGTAAAGTCACGTAGGCAAAATAAAATAATATAATAGAACAACTAAATTAAATCACGCCGTTTCGGAGGCAACACAAGTTTCCGTCTTCAGGTGGAACAGTCACAGCAAGATAGCTGCTTAGGGCCCCTCACTTGATGCAGCTATCTTGCTGTGACTGTTCCACCTGAAGACGGAAGCTTGTGTTGCTTCCGAAACGTCGTGATTTAATTTAGTTGTTTTATTATATTATTTTATTTTCATTTTACCTACGTGACTTTACCGAAAAAAAACAAAGAGTATGAGTCCTTTGTTAATCCACTGCTGGATGAAGAGTTCCACACACCGTGTTGATCATGGGGTCTATATGATCATACTTCGCCATGCCTGTCAGTGCAGGTTGGCAAGGGGGGGGAGAAGGGGAGGGTGTCCACGATAAGTTCAGAAATCACTCGCCACCGATGTTAGATGTGGCTGGGAGGCAAACTCAGGTCACCGGGTTAAAAGTGCACAAACCACTGCACTCTTCCCTCCTCCCCCACTTGAGAGATACTAAGGTAGAAATGTAGAGAGAATTTGGTAAGCCAAAGCAGTTATTTTTTTGTCGGCACTTATCAAATGTGACTTTTTCTGGGAAACAGGATCTTCATCGGAGCTCAATGCTGGGCTTTAATGACGCCACATCAGAGAGACACAATCCGCCCACAGCGCAAAACCCCCCTCCGGGCACACACAGAGGCACGCGAGGCTAACAATCGCAACTTAAACAGCGAAAAACTCACACAGCACCCAAAGGAATTCTAATACAAATAACTTGTGATGAACAAAATGTGCCTGAACGGGCCCTCTGTAGACTGTGAAAGCAGGGTACGAAATACGAATGAATCACTCCTCCCTTAGCAAGGATTTATCTTGTATCCTCAGAACTGGAAACTGTTACTGTTGCAAGGTCAGACTTTTTGCCAAGAACCAGAAAGCCCGTTACAGGCTCCTTAATCTCACCGTGCATACTGCGCGTTGCTTAAAATTAGCAGAGAATCAACAGCTGCCCGCTGTGTTTCGTGGGTGGTACCGCGTGTTTTGTTTTTGCATTATGTCCGACGTTTCGCTCTACATGCTGGTAGGAGCTTATTCAGGAGCCCCAAAACTAAAAAAACTAAACTATTTGTTTTTTTACCAGGCGAGACCCACTGAGCTATATAGCTCTTTTTCAGAAGCGACCTGGCCACAAATGATAGTTCACCGAAGTGGCTTATCACGTTGAAATTTATAGCAGTCCATATACTCTAAACTCATGTTTCTAAATGTGGAGGGAAAAACTGGTTGGACCTGGAGAAAAATCCACGCGACCACGGGAAGAACATGCAAACTCCAAATATACAGCAGCAGGCGTCAGGGCCAGGATCGAAACCAGGACCTCCTGCATACCCGGCGAGGTAGATAACATCTCCTAGCCACCGTGGCGCCACAAAATCGCGTGGGACAATCGGGAAACACTTCGGACAGCCAGTACACGGCACAACAGCCAATGTCTACGCGGGAGACTCAATCAGTACAGCCAGCAGGCTGGGTCACGAAGTGCCCAAAGCGGAGCTGGGTCACGAAGTGCCCAAAGCGGAGCTGCGTGGGCTGCGACAAATGGCATTCAAGAAGTTGCGACTCGACGCGAACGTTTCAGATTAAGTGCAAATTTGACGGCGGAGGTGCGCCGTGTGGGCATCTCTATTATTTGCAGCATTGAGATATTTTCATGATCTCCGTCATCATAGTTTAGAATCAAAGTGGTAAATTTTCACGCACATTTGCAATAGAATGTGGCCTCATTGCATATATTTAAGTCACAAAAATAGGAATAAATTCCAGGCACGTTAGAGACCATCTTAAGCAACGTCCTTGCTGTCAAGGCCCGCATCTACCACAAAGTAGACATCGTTGACACGAGCCACACGACGAGACGTCCCAGTATTTTGTTCGTTTTGTGCTAACTTTATTTATTCAACTTCACGGGCTGGCCAACAGTCGTCTTCCCCTTTTCCAGCTGCGCGTCGGTGGTGGAAATTCCACGTTACTTTGGTGGGGTCCAGCCTAGCCCCACGAGACAACTGTCGCAGGCATCCACCCACCACGCGGTAGGGGCTCAGCCGAGCGACTGCCACCACGGGGGATGGCCACGGTGTTTAACCAGCGCCGCTGGTGGGCGATATGTTCAGCACGTGCTTTAAATCCAACATTGGAACAGAAGCTTGCGTAGGCTTTTAATGTGATGGTAGTTTTTTGTTGGTGTTGTTGACGACGACATCGTTGGTGTGTGCCGTTATTCGTACAGTTGCCGCAAATAGCGTTGGCTTGACAATGGCGTTCGCCTGCTCCCTGTCGCGTGATCGTTTGTAACGTGTGGCGTCGTTTTCCATCTCTTCATTCGGTTACGCGTAAAGGGGTTTCCTTGTGTGAGGCAGGCAACGTTGACTTTGTAAGACCCCCCCCCACAAATAAACACAATTGATGTCAATAAAACCGTTGCCACTCTTCGTGCGCGTGTCTGAGAACACTGCGGTGATTCTCAACCGCCCGTGCCTGGGCTGTGTGTACACGTGGGTGGTGTGTGTGTGTGTGACGATGTCTGTGTATGATAATTATGTATGTGTGAGTGTGATTATGTCTATGTGTGTGCGATTATGTCTTACGTGTGTGTACATGTGGGTGATGTGTGTGTGTGTGATTATGTCTATGTGAGCGTGATTATGTTTACGTGTGATGTCTTTTTTTAGGGTATATTTCTGCTGTGCTTCAAATCTGAATAATAAAAATAACAGTACTTTATCAATCCATTGCTGGATGAAGGCCTCCTCGTGTTTCACGGGGGCTGTGTTGAACTTCATCACGCTGGCCAATGTGGACGGTGAGTTCCCAGGACCGTTTGAGACATCGATCGCCACTGATACCAGTTTTGGTTGGGAATCGAACTCGGATCTTTAGGTTCATAATGCAGTGTGTTACCCGCTGCGCAAATCCCGAATGCCAAGGTTGAAAGTGCCAGTGACATGGCAATCGACATTTTAACTTTAGCCTGTGCCTCATCTAGGTTGACTCAGCCGAAAACCATGAGTCATCTGTACGGTGGTGTTGTTTTGAGCATCGAGACTTCAGAGACAAAGGCGCTCAGTCACGCTGTCAAGGAGGCCGCTGACTCACGTACTGCGCCGCCTCAAGAGCTGCTCACGAACGCCACTTTCCCTACAAGGCAGTTTGCCTAACGGGCAAAACAGCACCCCGGTGTCCTCCTCGTGGGAGATTATGGTCGAGACTGGCATGGAAGAAAACAAAAATCGACAAGAACACTTGAACACCAAGAGGATTAATGACACCACAATGCCGCTCAACACTTTGAAATTAATGCGTGTCACCTACGTTTAGACTGTGGACCCTCCAAATATGGCAGCGTAATTAGTTTATACGTTTACCACCGTTATATTTGTGTTTTTTTTGCGTTAATCCCACTGGCTTCTGGTGGTGGAGTCGAGCGAGATTCGAGGAGCCAGAAGGAACAGCAGCGGCATCGTTTCTCTGCAGTCCGCACCCGCACCACACCCCCAGACTCCTCCTCTTCAGCTGCTCTCTCACTACAACTTTGCGTTATGCCATCCGTATAGCTTCACTCCCGTACTATACAACAATTCAATTCATTCGGTCATTGGGGAGAGACGCGGTGGCGCAGTGGTTTAAACACTGCGTCATGAACATGAGTTTAATTCCCTCCACGGTTATAACATCAATTGTGAGTGATATCTTGAACCGTTCCTGGGCCCTCTATCACCAACCTTTTACTGGCGAGTTTGATGGTGAAGTATGGTCAAACAACTCCCGTGAAAGAAACGGCATGGTGAGGCCGTAAACATTTTTTTATATTACTAATAGATGTTTCTGTAAATGGCCACATTAAACAGAACCATCCTCGTGAATGCGACGAATTTGAAAATGCAGCTGCACCAATGACTGCAGATTCAGCAGCGTCCTAAATAATTTGGCATTGCCGTGATGAGCTGGATCCCCC